CCAAAAAATGTATCCGTTCTAAACAGCATCAAAATCAACCACATCCAAAACTATTGTGGATATGATCAGAACAACAAAATATCCATAATAATAATGAAGGAGGTATATATATATATATATATATATATATATATATATATATATATATATATATATATATATATACACATATATATATATTTTTGAATAAAAATTCAAGAGGATAGAATCCAGGTAGAACTCAATGTCCAGGACAGAGTAAGGATATAATAAAAAGCTTGAACACTAATATTCCATGGTCCAATTTATTCCATTTGGAATACGATCCAATTCATCAGACCTACAAATTCAAGGTCTGATGAATTGATCGTATTTACGATTCCAATGGAATAAATTATGACCATGGAATATTAGTGTTTAAGCCTTTTTATTATATATATATATATATATATATATATATATATGAGAGAGAGATAATAATTTTTTCCAGAAGTGATCCTCGAGGAAACTTGCAGAAATTTAAAGGAAAACGTATCTATGAACACGAAAGGGACGTCATACACAACAATTTGCATTAGTTACACATAGAAATAAATTTAATCTAAAGAATGCCATACTTATCAAAAGAGAAAGGAAATTATTTAGAAGGAAAATTCTAGAGAGTGCCGCTATCGATTCTTATCAAAATATAAAACTGCATCCCGGATTGCAAGAACCTTAGTAAAGGGAGAAAAATGCTAGGGGACACGAGAAATATGTTTCGGGCTAGCTATAATGTCCTGAAGAGTTGCGGCACATAGAAGAAAGAATACACAAGCTATATCACGCGGCAACGCTGGTTCTCCAAAGATAAGCAACGTTGAACCTGGTCAGCACCTAGATGGGTGACTGCTTGGAAATAACAGGAGCTGTAAGTTTAAATGTGCGGGTGGTGTGATGACTAACGGTTCCGAAGGAGAAATCGGAGAGGCGAACACGAATTCCAGTCTAGTTCATTACATTTCACCCAGGCGCGGATACTCTTGAGAAAGGTATGAGAATTCTCTAAGCATAGCTCAGATGTGGCACAAGGCTGAATGTGTGGAGCACCCAATGGGGATCATACTCACTACTTAATTGTAATTGTTCTAGCGAGACAAGCTACTAAGCATTGCACCACGTCGAGGTGCCCCACTCCACTTGGGAGAGGTATGAATGCATAATTTATCCCTCCAACTATGGGTTAAATAGGAAGGCAGACTGGCTCCTATAGACTTGGTTGTCAACCAGTCTACCTTAGAAAGTAACGTCAGTCTACTGCGGAAATTCTTTTGCCAAGTCAGTTATGAACCGAAAAGAGACATGGTCGCACCAAAGCTTTCGTCACGCACCTAAGGAAAAAAAAAATACACAAAGCACATTTCTAAATAACTTGTGTTTTCTCTTTTTGTCATTTTATCACCCCCAAGGCTAAAAAGGTTAAAGATTATTTTAGCAAACGCAAATCCTGACCTCTGTAGACCTTTCCACTTAACGAACACAATTCCAACTTCCGAAAATAAAATGGAGGCGGGGTTGAAAGCTGGAAGTATCATCATTATATTTTAAATTCTCAATCTTAACTGCACTTAGGAAAATTGGGCTTTAGTATTTGTATACTTTATTAAATACCAAAAGTCGGCTCTCAGAAAACGCCGAGGATATGGAACATTTTTTCTTTCCCCGCATCGGCATGTGTCCTCTTTGACCTTGCCTTTCCCTTATAAGAATGAGTTCAGATTCCGTGGTGATGAGATATATTGACGCGAGAAAGGTTAAAAAGAATATACTTTTTAATTAAACCTAACTGTTGTCATATTTAAATCATTACTGCTAATTGTTTTAGTCTTGAGATAGTGTCTTCAAAAAGAAAATAAAAACTCCCTCTAAAAGAGAAATAATAAAATTAAAATAAAGCTGCGTTTAGAATATATGATTCTGTCGTAGAAATGGCCCTTTGAAAATTTTCCTTTTAAAATAAAAATCAGTTTGATAATCAGTTAAAACTTGAAAGCATTTATTTTTAAACACGATAACAAGCGAAGTTTTATACACCGTAGGACACAATTTCAAATAATTAGAAGCTTTATATATATATATATATATATATATATATATATATATATATATATATCAATCCGTCATAATTTAATTTATTGCTTAGACGTTATTTTTAATGGATATCCATATTTGAGTAGATACTGTTTTTATCTATCTAACAGTATATTTATTTTTACATCTAATGACTGATATTTGAGAAATGATTTTTCTAATAAAATTATTTTACTAGTAAGATTTCTCGAATATTCAGGCCAGTAGATGGAAATAAATAAATATACTGTTTAATAGATAGATAAAAACAAAGAATTTACTAAAATATGGGTATCCATTAAAAATAACGTTTAACCAATAAATTAAATAGATAGATAGATAGATAGATAGATAGATAATATTAGTGGTAAATATACACATACATATGCAAAATATATATACATACATACATACATACACATACATATATATTTGTATAAAAAAAAATAATTCCAAAAGGATAGAATCCAGGTAGAACTCAATGTCCAGGACAGAGTAAGAATATAATAAAAAGGCCTTTTTATTATATATATATGTATATACATATTATTTATGGTTAGAAACTCCAACTCATACCAAATCGGTCGGGTTTCCATCCTGCCTTGAGATTTCGGATGTCAAAGAAGCTGTAATACAGCGAAACAGTACTGTCTGCGAATAACACACACATATATATATATATATATATATATAAGAAATTATTAGGAGTATTTGATAATAGTTGATAATTATAATTAAGTAATTCATCGAGTCTGAAAGAAACCTCAACTGGACAGTCATTTCGTCCTATAGTTGGGACTCATCAGCAGTGCGCATCCACTACCGAAAATTGAAACCCTGACAGTCAGGTTGTCAAGCAAACGTCATACAAACTGTTCCAATGGGCCTCGGTGTCGGTAGCCAATCAGACTCAATATAGTGCTTCTCGCTCACATATTCCGTGGTGGAACTCAACTGAGATTCTCTCTAACCATAGGACTGTGCCACCCCCAGAAGCCACGACTACTCTCACCAAGCCGCTCACTTATATTTAAGTAATTCATCGAGTCGGAAAGAAACCTCAGAAAGCACTGGACGGCTGTTTCGTCCTATATTTGGGACTCATCAGCAGTGATGAACCACAACCGAGAATTGAAACCCCGACAGTTAGGTTATCGATGAGTTATTTAATTATATATATATATATATATATATATATATATATATATATATATATATATATATATATAGGTAAAAATTTGTGGAAAAAGTAATCCAAGTGAATCCTAATAATATAAAATATTAAAACTGATCCACAAATAGATCTCAATGTATTTATTACAGAGGATATAAAAATATATTACAAATAAATAAAATTCAAAAATACCCCATCTGAAGGGCCATTTCGCTCCACAAGAAAAACATTCCTTCAGGAGGTTGTCAACACTAAAACATTAGATAGAAAAAATAAATATGGAGTCTAATGTAATTGTAGAAATAGCAACCTTTGTCCAGTCAAGGGAAAATGTAGAGCATCTAATGTGATATATCAAGCTACCACTTACTCCAGAGAAAATAGATCAAACCACCATGTTTATTTTGGGATGTCTGCAGGAGAATGGAAACATCGACTTTATAACCATAGACACTACTTTCCAATCCAAGACTAAAACACCAAACTGCTCACCCCCAAAAATTTGGGGAAGTGAGGGAGAAAGATCTGAACGCTCAAATTGACTGTGAATTCATAGTTTTGCTCAAACTCCTAGTAACTTTAAGGGTAGCTGTAACTTGTGTTTAGTAGAGAAAATTAGAATTATTAAATTTGTAAATCAAACTATTTTACTAAATCAAAGGAATAAATTGGTACCCAAATGTTGTCATAGAAGTAAATTCAAACTAATATAAAATATTTTTCAACCTCGCACTATCTATTATCCCCTAACACTTATACATTTAATTATTTTCCGTATCACTCTTTTTCAATAACCTTCTTTTATTTTATATATATATATATATATATTACTCTATGTATTATGTTAATCTTTAATTAATTTTATGTGATTATTTTTTTTATTTTTATCTCATTAATATAAAATATGGTACTTGTTTGATTTCTTTTTATTTATAATTTAGTTTTTTTTACCCTACTAATATTACTATTAATATTTTCCCACACTTCCTATAATCTTGCCAATACTATTCTTTTATCTTATCTATAATGTATAAATGTTCTTTTTTAAAAAAAAAAATTACCTTAAAAGATATTTTCTATATCTAATATTCTATTAATTTTTTCTTTTTTAAATTTATCATGTTATATTTTCCTTTGGAAATAATTAATACTCAGATTTACTTTTAATTTCTTTTTTAATTGGTAGCTTTTATTTTCTTTTTTGTCTAATTATGTTTATGTATTGAGTCAATTGTGATTGATATTTCCCTCTTCAAAGGGCTTCTTTAAATTTAACTTAAAATATATTTTTCTATATTTAATATTCTATTATTTTTCTTATTTTTACATTTATCATAGTTACGTTTAATTACTTTTTTAATTGTTAGCTGTTTTTTGTCTAATTATATTTATGTATGGGGTTAATTGTAATTGATATTTTCTCATTCAAATGGCTTATTTGAATTTAATCTATAATTAATTTAAGATTTAATTCTATTTCCCATATATTGTACTAGTTTTGATTTTTTTTTTTTATCCATTTAATCTATTATTTAATTAAAATTAATATTCCGTTTTAATCTTTCCTATATACTAATAATTTTTTAATTAGCTTATTTTATAAAATTAACATTTTACAACATTTTTACACAATCTTAAAAACCTTTTCTTTATTTTAAAGATTATAATTCCTTATGTAATTTTTCCTATTTGAACAAGTGTTAAACATTTGAAATATTGGTCAAGGTTAATTTTTCTGATGTTAAATTTCCAACCGTTTTTAAACATTCGTCTAAAGTCTAGACGAATCATTATTCCTCCCATTCCTTCTCTGCCCATCTCTGCTTTGTTTTCTCTCTCTCTCTCTCTCTCTCTCTCTCTCTCTCTCTCTCTCTCCCCCCACTTTATTCCTTCCGGTCTCCTTTTCTTTAAAAGAAAAAAAAAAAGTTAGACTTCACGTTTATTTTATTCTCTCTAACATTTTAGTGTTGACAACCTCCGGAAGGGAATTTTTTCTTGCGGAGCGAAATGTCCATTCAGATGTGGTATTTTTGTATTTTATTTTATATATATATATATAATGAAAAAACAGACCACTTTAAGGTACCATTACAATAATTTATTTCACCAAAATCCTTTTTTATATATATGTAAAATTTATTTCGCTTCCTTGATATGTAAGAAAACTGAAAAGAATGTGAAAAATCGCATAGCTAAAGCCTGAGTTGCCTTAAACGAAGATTTTTCGCGCCACTGTAGAGTCGATATTAATGTATAGTGCCACTGCTTGGGCATCAACCAAAACGCTGGAGTCTAAGCTTGATGAAAGCTACACACGGATGCTGAGAGCTATACTTAACATCTCTTGGAGATAACATCCAACTAAATCACAGATCTATGGACCCATAATTCTATAATCTTACTCGGACGCAGAATGCGCTTTGCAGGACACTGCTGGTGAGCAAAACAAGAACTTGCGACTGGTCTACTGCTTTGGACACCTAGCCATGGTGCTAAAAAGGTTGATCACCTAGCAACCACCCTTCCGACTTTGATGCAGGAATGTCCGAGCTAGCACAACCGAACAAGTAAACAATATATATATATATATATATATATATATAAACTAATTGTCACTAAATATAAGCCCTAAGAGCCACTCCAAATAGAGGATTACTGAAAGAAGCTGTTTGAAGGGAACATACCTCTTGCCAATAAAATGCGAAGGAAATGAGGATGATTCGAGTCTGTGGTCGTAGCAAGGCGGATTTCGGTAGCCACTAAACAATGGAAGTCATCTGAAGATCTACAATTGAAATAGTGACAGAGATGCGATAGTCTGGCAACTTTGTGTCTATAGAAAAGTGAAGTCTGGAAAATGACTTGAAAATAAGCCATTGCCCGCGTAAAAGTTTTTGAGAGCTGCAAAGTGAGGATTAAGCAGCTCCAGTCCAGATATGGCAGCAATACTTCATTTTTTATCTGATCTGACTCTTGTAAAGTTAACTGATTGATTCGTTTTTTACGGTTTATCAACCCTTTGTGAGGTTATTTAAAACCAGAATATATTTTTATTTTTTAGATTGTAAGATTTTTTTTGAGATAATAATGATTTAGTTATACAAGTTTTACTAATTAACCCATAGCTGTGGAGGGGGGGATTCATACCTTTCCAAAGGTATTTGCGCGTTAGTGAATATAATGAACACAACTGGAATTGGAACTCAGTTTTCCGATTGAACAATTTCGTGCCATTATCCATTACATGAGCTGCACATTCAAGCTTACAGCAACTAGTTGTCACCCATCTAGATATTTACCAGGTCCGACGTTGCTTAACTTTGGTGATCGTACGGGAACCGGCGTTCTAACGTAATGTGCCTGTAAGCCTTGTAAAGTTAAAGCATGTCAGAAGGAGACAAATACTTTCTGTAGCAATACAAGGAATCGACAATTTTTCCAAAAGCTTTAACGATGGCTACTACACATGAGTTTAAATACATAGACGCTTAAAGCAAAGAGCCTTGTTAAGAGTGCAATGGTACTCCGCAAAAGAAAATTGCTAATTGTAACAACAAAAAAAAAGCTACCATTATCTCTCTCGCAACCAGGGCCAGTGCCTACCCCCGGGAGTCAAACCTAATTGGGGGCTCCGGGCATATAATCAACATTTGCTTTTTTCGACATACATCTATATACGTTACAATTTAAACTAAGCACAATTGTCTATTAAAGAATTTTTAAAAATTCGCGGACTTTGACGTCATTCTGAGTTTACTTTCTTTTTTTTTTTTTTCTTATCCAACTCCATGAATTTCTTTTGTTCATGCTAAGTCTAAAAAAAAAAAAACACTATATAAAATTCATAATTTTTTATCCATAATATTCAATGTGTCAAAATTCTCAAACTCTTTACCATAGAAATTCTCAAGTTGATGTTAAAACTTGCCGCAGAACATTGTTGACTTATGTAAGATGGAATGATTTTTATTTAGATACATTGCATTTATTTTCAATTTTCCTAGTTGAATTGTTTACCTATATTGCATATGATCCATTATTGTACATAAGTTACAATAAATGTTGTATTTTATGATTACTATCGCATAAAAAAATGAGTTTTAGTAGAGTAGATATCCCTTGGACTGGCGCTGCTCGCATAATTATTACTGAAATAAGTAATTTTAAGTGATTAATGGATTATTTTTATATCCGACATTATTTCTTATTGCTACAAACATTACATTTTTAGTGGGTAGCCGTGTTTTAGTAGACATTTGTGGTAGTGGTTAACGTTATCTTATGACTACGTCCGTTTCCACCATATTGCACAATGTTAATATCCACAATATATTTTTATATAACACTATATATATATATATATATATATATCATATATATATATATATATATATATATAGTATCATCCACAGACAGACTGTTCGCTGTATCACAGCTCATCAGTGTGGCTAGACATCCGTTGCCTCTAGCTAGGATCGAAACCCGACTGAATTGGCGTCAGTATATATATATATATATATATATATATATATATATATATATATATATATTATAAAATTAATTGATTTAAACCAAAACAACCCACAAAAATCTTTAAGTATACAAATAGAAAAAAATGCCGTAAGAATTTTTGCCGTTAACAATAAATTTAAAAAAATCCAGACGACATGCATTTAACGGATGTCAGAATTCATTGAAAAATACATCCAAAACGTAACTAATAACTGATACATCAAAATACATCGATGATGAACACGCAACTACCCCTTGTCTGGATGAATGGATTTCTCTGTATCCTTGGAAACGTGAATTATGAATTGTTGCTGTGCCTTTAAAACCCAGTAATTTTAAAAAATAAGTTACTCCAAAATTCGCTTGAGGATGAAATGCAACTAATGTCTTTAATTTAATTACAAATTAAATTCGAAGCTTTTAACTTCCATTTTTGAAACATGGTTAGAACTGTGTAGCGAAAAAAAAACACATTTTAAATCAGTTAATTTATAATATTAATCCTCTGTAAATTTACATTGAGCACTATTTTGTAAAGACAAAAATATCTATAAGAACACCGGATTATATATCTTACTGTTCTTTCTTTTTATATATATATATATATATATATATATATATATATATATTATAACATATTCAATCACATTTATGTGTTTGTCTATTATCGCGTGACATCTGTATGTCTAATCACAAATAAACCTTTTTCCCTTGTCCACTAAATCTATCATGACGACCCTTACTACCGCTCAGATTCGGACGAAAAAATTAACCTATTTCTAAGAACAATAGATGAAAATTAGACATATTTTCTCCGCTTTTTCCTTAAATAATTTTGTTAGCTTCTAAAAATGATGCATGGTTAAATATAGAGTTATAATATTCGTAACCTTTATTTTTTAGAGTCTGTTTATATTTCTGTGATGAGGTATTATATACATTATTTACATTATTCGGAATATTGTCCTCATTTTTGTCGCCATATTTATCACAATGTTTCGGCTGTTGTACTCTCCGGCCTTCTTCAGGTGGTTGGAATTTCGAACTGAACCCTTTGTTTCGCTCACTGGGATAGACTATTCTAGTTCCACGTGCTATGTTTGATGGATTTGATATCAGTTATCTCCCATTAATTTTCCTCTGAAAGTTCTCCACTGCCTTAACTCACACTCTTTGGGTCCTGTCACTGGATCTAACCAACGCCTTTATCCACTGTGCCATGTGGACATCTGGGTATGAATTTCTGGGTATTATAAACCTAATGTCTTCAGCAACCATTTTTACCAGTGCTCATATTGCAATTTTGCTGTTATCATTGCATGTTTTTACCAGAGCTCATATTGCAACTTTGTTGTTATCATTGCTTTTCTCTGGCACTCCTTATTACTAGTTCCCATATTGTATTTATTTCTATGCTTGGTCGGCTCAGGAGATTTTTTATTTTTTAATTACAAAATATTGGAGATTAATTATTTATCCTGATTTCCTACAAAATCTAATACTTATTTTAAAGCATTAATAAATTGTATCTAGGGTCCGTCGTCGCATTATTTGAATTATCATATATTTGTAATTTGATTGGCTATTACATCTTACGTAAAAATATTTCCTCTAGTTGGTGTAGTGGTTGGTTTTTGAACTCCTTAAAAAAATCTTTATTTTACTTGCAATACCGTCACTTGATAAGACACCAGAAGTGTTAAAACAAAATGGCTATTTTTATAGTGATGTTATAACATGCATGTTATAATTTTTAAATAAATATAATACACTCTACTCTGTACTGAGCACTTTTTAAAAAATAGTGTTTTTGATTACTGGAAGTTTATTCCATCTATATCAACCTTGTATTCGTATATATATATATATATATATTCATGAATTATTCATACAAAAAACAAATACAAAGGTTAATGATTTAATTGGCGAGAAATCCATCGTCGCGAACAATTCAAATAATATACAATGGATTTCTCGCCAATTAAATCATTAACCTTTGTATTTGTTTTTTGTATGAATAATTCATGAATTTGTAAATTAATTGCACCTTTATTGAAATATATATATATATACACTACTCGACTCTCCCGTCGAATTCGACGTATGAGGGTCAAGCAGATCAGTTTCCAGGAAACCGACAGCCCGACACCGGCACATGAGATTTGATTATAGTGGTGAAGGTTTCGTGCAGGACCATCCACACTTTTTGAAGGGCCGAATACAGAAACCTGGTGCATTAAGTGCCAAACGACCCTCCGCAGGTTTTGAATTCAGAGTTGTCCTTCTCCTAGACCAGTTGCCATCCAAGGCTATAGAACCCAGTCTGTCCTGCTATTTACCCATAGCTGGAGGGAGAAGAAGAGGATTCACACCTTTCCCAAGGGTGTTAGCACGTAAGTGAATGTAATGGATTCGACTGGAATTCGAACTCGGCTCTCTGATTCCTCAATCTAATCCGCTATCCATTACTCCACCGTGCCTAAATAGGAAGAATATACAGAAAATCCGGAAGAATGTAAGCCGTTTCTCTAAATATTTTCATGGTAATTGTTCTGATGGTCATTCCTCTATGAATATTGTAAATATTCATTGCGATTTCATTTTTAAAAGTTGTTATTTTTATTCCCCAGACAAATTGTACCTATGGGAAGTAGTTAGGACTTCTTAGAGTCTTTGAGGGAATATGGTGGCGGTAGTAAGAATGGTAAGTAAGAATGTGTTGTTTTGGTGTAAGGAATACTGTGGTATATTTGAGTCGGTGATCGTGGCTAGCTAAGTTTAAGATAAGACAGACTGAAGACCAACCCTCCTCTATGCTCCTCTTTTGGCCTTGTGCCATATTTCAGTATTACTGAAAATAAATATTTCTTTCTTCTATAATACAAAGACTTTATGAATTTAAACGCAGTACAAAATTGGCAACAAGGCTTTAAAGTTGAAATGGTGAGAGGTAACCGTAAGTTCTATGCCAATAGCTTCTTCTCTTGCCCTTCTCGCTAGTGGAACTCTCTTCGAGCTTCTTGCTTCACAGTCATTTTTGATCTTCAAACATTTATATGCTGTCTTCTTAATTCCTGTTATTTTATTGTTCAATCTACTTAATAGCGTTTTTTTTTTTCTCATATTCTCCCATACTCATTAACTTGATAACACATCAATAATCTTCACAGCAACATTAAATTCACAATGGAATATACAACCACTTCTGTTTCTGGATTTACCGGTACGTCTTAAGAAATTATCATATCACCACACACTAAATCCACCGATGTTCATTGGTACTTAAATTTTACCAGCCTAAAATAAATCAATAATCTATAGCCAGTGTTTACACATAAAACGCATCTGTTCTCACCCTGGGGATTGCAAAAAACACATGTCATCGATTCAATCACTTTTCCAAATCTACAATCCGTCCTTATATCATAGACGATTAAAATAATCCAAGACAACGTGTTGGGCTTGATCCAAAAATTGATTTACCATATTATGCGCTCTCTCCAAGAAACTGCAACGAGGGCCCGCTAAACATAGTTACAGTATAAACCACAGGTGGACTCTGTTGCTTGTGCAGGCATTTGTATTATGGATCTGCAAGCCATTCTATTAGACAGATGTGCCCGTAAACGAGTAATAGCTGGCCATATATATATATATATATATATATATATATATATATATATATATATATATATATATATATAAATGGATTAAGTTCGACAATTATTTTAATATATTTTCCGTTTATACGTTATTTTTATAGATATAATTTATTTAAGTAAATGCTGTTTTTTGGGTTTTTTTTTTTTTAATTATTAAACAGTAAGCTCCTTTGTGGCTGAATGTTTAACACCGAATCAAATGATGGTTCCTGTTACAGGTTCGATTCCTGTCGGAGAAGCACATACTTTCTACGAAATTTCTCGAACCTTTAGGCCGGTAAATGTAATCAATACTGTTTAATTGAAAAAAAAAAAAAAGCATTTACTTAAATTATATCTATAAAAATAACGTATAAATGGGATATATATACAGAGAGAGAATAAGACTTGGAAAAACAGTTAATTTTTATATGTAATATTTTTAATATATGTATTTTTACAGAGAAATATTAAAACTAAAATTGTTTTAAGCAGATTTTTAGAACAAATTGTTTTACTTTACCGGTTTCGATTTAGCTTTTCAAAATGTTTGTAAATGTTTATATTCCCACGTGTTGACGCTTGTGTCTTGAACGAATGAAAAAATATTTTCAAGTGGGTGGAATTTTAATTTTTTTTCCCAAATTTCATAAAATTAAGTGGTGGAAACAAATTTAAAAAACTTAGAAAAGTGCAAAAAAAAATTCGTTGGGGGAGATTAGCCCTTCTGCACCCCGTAAATCGCCACTGGTTGTATTTCTAAAAAAGAAAATTTAAAAATAATATAATTCATTTTGTTGTAATTAATCTCTTCTAGTTATGAAAATTCCTTCATTAAAATCCAAAGATACTGTCGAGAGTCAATTATTTCATTTTTTTTTTTTGTTAATATATATATTAAAAACAATTAAATTAAGCATTAGAACAATGTTTTTTACCGCAAAAGAGACGCTAAATTTCCTATACTAATCTTTGGCGCAGCCACTGACGCCAGGAATAAAACAAGATTTTAACAAAATTTTTTGAGCGTTTCGAACATGCTGGAAAGGATGAAAAAAATTAATAAAATAATCAGAAAACACTTTTAATTTAAATTTTATATTTCTTCTTTTCCATGACATGTAATACCGTAAAAAATCTCCCAAAAAATAAAATATGCATTTTCATGGTAAAATTTCTTTTTTATCAAATGTTTTATTTAAGAGGGCCTTTTTTTATCTATCATGGGGACTTTAGACGTTAAAATTAACTGAATTAACGTGAACGCAACATATGCTTAAAATTTATGATAATTTTCTTTTTTTTTTTTTTTATTTTTAGTTGAAAAGTGGAGGTATATAAAAAAAAATGTGCCTTTTTACAAAAAAATTCAAAATTCTCTTTATATATGTTTCAATGATTTGTACTAAGGTTTTCTATATATATATATATATATATATATATATATAGAATTTTAAAAGATTTAAAACTTAATAAATTATTCTAATTATAATAAAAAAATGAAACAATTCTTGTAAAGAGATCCATCGAAAACAAATTTTTTCTGAACACAACAATGCTTTTAGAGAGAATAATGTCAGGATTCAGAGAGGGTTTGAGGGGGTGGAATATATTCATATTTATGATAGGTAAATTGTCGCTTTCATAAAATTAAGTGGTGGAAACAAATTTAAAAAAAAAAAAGTTAACAAGATTTTCTAAAAAAGAAAATTTAAAAATAATATAATTCATTTTATATTTTCACTATGCCATGATCTTTTTAGCGAAAAAGATTCTTCTTTTTCCATGGACATGGTACCTAAACATTATCCATCAAAAACAGATTTTTAACACAATAGTGCATTTAATATATTTTATTTATAAAAGCAATTAAAGGTTTTACTAATTAAATAATGTCATAGTTTTATTTCATTTTTTTTTTATTTTACGATTCAGCGTAGATTTTCGGTAAATGATGTTTCTGTTTAACAAATATATATATATATATATATATAGAGAGAGAGAGAGAGAGAGAGAGAGAGGGAGGGTGCGATGGGTAAATTGTCGCTGCCATTTTATATTTTTTATTTCGTTTATGCGTGTTGTTTGTTTTTGATTTTGTCGATTGCACAGAATAGTAGGGTCAGTTGGGCACAGTCTGTGAGAAAAAGAGCACCATGATGCAATTCACCCTGCTAGAAATTTGGAAACGGCATGCTGTACTGCTTGGCATTCGCACCGGAAGCTCTAATACGAACATTTCGAGGTTTTTATGTGTCAATCTGGGAACAGTGCAGAGGATTCGGAAAGAGTTGGATGAGTGTAATGGTGATTATGAAGGTGATTACGACTAGTGGTGCCCGACGTTATACATCCATTCATCTTCCCCAGGACCTCAAATCCAACACGGAGACCTGCATCATGTGCTTTGAGGAGGTAGTGCTGCCCTGGGTCAATAGGATGACTGCTGGAAGACACCTATGTCTGGCAACAGGACTCTGCACCATGCCACACAAACAGAAGAACCCAGTTATGGTTTCAGAGAATTTCTATGACTATTATCACCACTTAAATCTGGTCACCTAACTCCCCACACTGCAATCCACTTGATTATTATATGTCAGCTGCACTTGAACGAAAGACCAACAAAACTCCTTGTAGTACTAAAGATGAAGCGAAGGCAAGGATTATGACAGCATTCACCAAGGAGACCGTCTAGAAGAGATGCAGGAGATTTCAAAGTCGTTTGGAGGCCATGTTGAAGTCAATGCCGATTTTATTGAATGAATTTAATCTTCAGTGTTTCAAGATATTTTTGCTTAATTTTGCTAATTATGTCTATTAAAATGAGAATGCAGTGTTATTTTCATTTTTGCGTAATTTAGACGACAATTTATCCATCGCACCCCCTCCCTCCCTCCTCCCCCTCTCTCTCTGTGTAAGACTCCGACGGTCGGGCTTCTCGAACTGTGCTCGAATGAATCAACATTCAAGTATATCTATTTCGAATCAACGAAAGTTTTTCGTGGTTCGTCGTTTTTATTCTGGACTTCAACAGAATCCAAAATTCAAAATATTAATGGAACGAAATACATTTCGTTGATATTGTTTATAATAAAGAAGAAAGAATGAATAAAAAAAAAACAAAGTACGTAAAAAAAAATAAAAAATAATAAAACAAAATTAAACCAGTCGGCTGCGTAGATCTTAGCCCTATCTGGGCTGGAGACAAACTTAATAGGCAATTTTTATAAATAATCTTTTAAAAATCTCTAATGACGTATGCTCTGTTTTTTAAAGAACACATTTTTTTTTATTTTTATAGCCTTCAAATATATTTTTAAATAATTTATTCCGTACAGTATAAGATTTTTTTAGCACAATACATCAATTGGACAAAGCCAAATTTAGCCCGACCTCAAGTCGGCGAAAATCAAAACGTTGACTGGAGGGTTAGGATAAGGAGTGTAACTGGAAATGTTGAGTGTTGAGGAAATAGGATATCAGTCAGCAGCTACGATTACTGAGCGAAAAACGTACACTAAATTAAGCTAAAAATTCACAGAAAGAGAGATACATAAACACACTAACGTATAGACATATATACAAACACACATTCGAGTTTTAACACACACCTAAGTTTTTCCACAAAAAAAAAGTTTAGAGATTTTTAAAAATTAGATATTTTAGTTCGAGTAAAGGAATCATTTTAGCATCTAAGTTATATTAATAGTATATTTTCTTAAAAATTGTAATATGCTCGAAAAACATGGATGACCTAGTGATATATATATATATATATATCATTTTACTGTTGAACAAGCTTGATGCAATCGTAATTTCTATTCTAATAGTTTCTTTTCTCGCACTTCTCTCTTGTAGAACTCGCTTCTTTTTTTTTTTCTTCTTTTTTTTTTGCTTCCTGAAACCAGTTACTTTATCGATCTTTCTCCTCACTAAAATCTTCTGATTCTC